GAAGTTTGGAGCCCTGGGGATGCTCTATATGGGAGTAGAATAGATGAAAAATCTGGTGATATCTTTGATGCAATCTTCTTTCTTTACAAGGAATGTACAAAGTCCTGCTTCTCTGAATGCAGGAGGAACCCAAGGCAAAAGGAGTAGGCCATGTCTATGCTACAAGGACTATAGTGGGCTAACTATGGTGCCCTAGCTGTGCTGGCATAACGCTGTAGCATAGACACAGCCTACAATGACGGAAGGTGTTTTTCCATTGCTGTAGGAATACCACCTCCCCAAGCGATGGTAGTTGGGTCGACAGAAGCATTCTTCTGTCGATAGAGCTGCATCTGCACCAGGGGTTAGGTCGGCATAATTACATTGGTCGGGATGTAGATTTTTCATGACCTGAGCACCCTAGCTATGTTGATCTAAAATTTAAGCATAGACCAGCCCTCAGCTTACAGGACCAAGCTTCTTTTCAGCCAGCATCCAGAACTTCTCTCTAGGTTTCTTTCAGGGTCAAACGGTGCTTGCAAGCATTTGCTTGGATTTCTTCAGGCTGTCTGTCTGTCTCTGGTTTTGTGTTTTATATATATACACACATATATACACACACTCTCTGTCTCTGCCTCTCTCTCAAAACAATAATCAGCACAAATCCCCTCTGCCCACATAGTCCAAAATTCTTGAGTGTGTCACATAATCCTTTTTGTTTTAGGTAGGGGATTGTGATTAATTTGCCCACACATTTATGTTAATTGAAGTGTGTGTTCACACCCATCAATCTCAATAAGGTTTTAACTCAATCCATAACAAGGTTTCACCCAGCTCCTAATGTTATTTATTGGTAACACCAAGAGGACTCCATCAAGACTGGGACTCTGTGCTACAGGTTTTACAAATACATATTAAGAAGCAATCACTGCCCTGAAGCTTGACTCAAATGTGTACAGTATTATTAGAGAGACAAGGATGAGGTAATATCTTTTATCGGACCAACTTCTGCTGGTGAAAGGCACTATTGCTCAAGCTCCATAGAGCTCTTCTTCAGAAGTTGGTCCAATAAAAGATATTACCTCACCCACCTTGTCTCTCTCATATGCTGGACTCAACAGCTTCAACAATACTGCATACAATACTATTAGGCTAGGTCTACACTACGGGGGGGCGGGGGTGTCGACCTAAGATACGCAACTTCAGCTACGTGAATAGCGTAGCTGAAGTTGCGTATTTTAGGTCGACTTACCTGGCTGTGAGGACGGCGGCGAGTCGACCGCTGCCGCGCCGCCGTCGACTCCGCTTCTGCCTCTTGCCACGGTGGAGTTCCGGAGTCGACGGCAGAGCCATTGGGGATCGATTTTATTGCGTCTTCACTAGACGCGATAAGTCGATCTCCAATAGATCGATTGCTATCCGCCGATCCGGCGGGTAGTGAAGACGTGCCCTTAGTCACTTTCGGAACATGTTACTCACAAAGACCCTCTTACACAATACATGCACGTTGCCTCCTCTTACAGGTACCTGCTTGTGGATTTGAAATGCATTTCCCCTGGTAGCTGCAACAGTCTTAATTTTATATAATATTAGCAAACAACTCGGTACCTCACTAAATCACTCAGACAACTGTACCCAAATGCGATAACTATCCCTTTAGTTTTGGTGTCCGGAGAGTAGTCTATTCCAGGTACAGTGGGCTTCTCTATAGGCCTGATCCAAAGAATTTCTGTGCATCTGCAGCTCCCAGAGAAGTCAATGGTTTGCCCAATTTAAAAAAAAAAAAGTCTCCGAATCTTGGCTTACCCAGTGACCTCTTTGAAGTTGAGTAAATAATTTAACCTCTCTGTGCCCAGTTTCCCCATCTGTAAATTTGGTTAATACTGACTGGGCCTACCTCTTAGCGGGAGTGTGAGGTTTAATCAAATAATATTTGTGAAGTGCTTTGAGATCCTGGATGGAAGTCGCTATGTAACATAAGTGCTAATTATGATGATTACAAATGTTTTTTTTATTCCATGTAGAATCTAGAAAGGTACCAGCCTTTCATAGCATGTTTGTACTCTGCTTCTGTTGTGTAGCCATAGGGAGTGAAAAGGAATTTCAGTGCAGTGCATCACAAGCTGTAGTATTTCCCCAAAGTCTGATCTGTCATTCTAACCCACATGAATTTTTTGTTTTAGACATATTTTAGTTATAGATGTGGATATACCAGGCAGTATTCTTTGTGGACTCACAATGAAGAATGTCCATATCCAGTAGCATATCATACCTGTGGCTGAGTAGCCATTTCACTTCACTCCATTATGTGTTGCCAAAACAATCTTGGCAGTGGAATTTGTTACATTGTTTGTGTGTTTGGTGTTTTGTAGAATCTCATCTCTCCAGTCCATTGCTATGAACTGTGGTTCTGGAACAAAGCTCTGGCTCAAAAATAATGAGACGGTAAATCACCAGAGTGAGAGTTAATGGCCACAGCAATTAGTCTGGGCCCAGCTCCATATGCTCAGCAATATCGACCGACGCTCCCTTCTGTCCCTGCTATTACGTCTGCTTCGCCAAACAACACAACCTGCTGAAGTACATCGTTTCCAGATCAGCTGCTGGTGCCAACGTCAGCAAATCAGAGAGATCACCAAACCCCATGCTCGTCCACTGACAGTAATGTAAGTAAAGAACCATCTGTGATCTTTTATTTAAAAAAAAAAAGAGCGAGCGAGAGAAAGTTGTAAGTGTTATGTGAAAGCTGTGAATGTTATGGGTTGGTGCCCTATTAAATGTGGTGTGCACAGTGGCAAGTCCCATCCAGCTGTAAAGTAAGATTGTGGCACTGTCTGTCCAATAAGTTTAACTTTGTAGCCTAGTAAAATAATAGAACAAACTTCTGTGACCATATGGTGACACATACGGTGTCAGAGCTGGATCCTAGAATATAATGGCATGATGCGCAAGAAGCAGAATTGTTTACAATGAACAAGCCATGCCAGACAAATTAGATGGCTCTGCATCACATGAGGATCCCCTTGCAATGGGGAAATTTTCCAGTTGTTGGACCCGCTGAATTTATAACCATGTTGTGCTTGCAGATTGAGACAAAGTAGTCTCAGTATGGCTGAGAATCTAGGCCAATATGTCTTAATGGGTGGTACTTTATACTAAGAATAACTTCAAGCATCTTATCCTTCCTTCACTGGAAGCGTCTGTAGGTTGCTAGCTTTAAACCTTACATTAAATATATAAAATGTAGCAAACAAAATCATTGTTCTCGGGCAGAAACTTGTTTTGATTTCAGCTTGTATTTGAGAGTATCTTTAGGGAATGAAGGGTCTGATCTACAATCACTAGGAAAACCGAGCTAGTGGAAACAATGACACAGTCTGTAGCGGCAGCACAATAAGGGGTTATTGCTATCATGGTATGGAACAGATGGGAAATCTTGGTTCCTTCTAAAGAGGTCTTTGAAATAATGAGTCAAGCTGCATCCTTAAAAATCCTCCAATATTCTCCGGCAATGGCCCCAAACACTGTGGTAACACTGTTGTAAGTAGTATTGAGATGGCTGATGTCCCATTAAGTTAGGAAAGATGATCTTGTGGTTAAAGCACTGGACTGGAATTCAGGAGACTAGGGTCTGCACAGGCTTCTTGAGAAATGTGGGACAAGTTACTTAATCTTTGCAACTCAGTTCCCCATGTGTAAAATGTTAATAGTGCTTCCTTCCTCCCACCCTTTGTCCTCCTTATCTGTTTAGATGGAAGTTCTCCAGCTCAGTGGTGTGGGGGGCCTTGAAACTCTATTGCTCTCAGTAATGACCATTGCTGTCAAGTAGTGCAGTATTGGGTGCATGGATGGTGCCACTCAAGGGAACACTTGCTGACAGCCGAACCCAGTAATATTGCCTGCAAAGTAAAGCCCCCTGCATAGATACACCTACAACCTTTGTGTTGCTGCTGTTCCTTGATCCTGCATTCTCCTTTATCTGCACCTTCCCTTTGCCTCCCATTTGTTTTTGAGGATGTGAGAAGCGCTCTCCTGAGTCAAGAAATGCCAATCGCCATATAGCCACCATCTGCCCTCGCTCTCTGGGACTTCCCTCTCCTCATCACTAGGGTATCCCAGGGGAAGCAGATGACACTTGCCTGCAGCCTCAGCCCAGTCCAGCTAGTTTAGCTTCCTCCAGCCGGTCAGCCAGGCCAGGCCCCGGCAGCCGTGGAGGGGATTATGTTATCAGCGCCAAGGCCAGGGATTAAGGGTGACATCCAGGAAGGCGGAGGGGGTCCCACCCTCGCCTGCTGATCGCCAGGAGCCCCCTCCTGCCATCACAGCACTGGCTGGAAGTTCCGCCAGCCATCAACGGGCAAAGAGCCACGTCTTGGAGCAAGCCGGCGTCCAAGCCCCTGCGGGGGTGGATGCCCACGGCTCTCCGGCAGGTCGGGCTGCGCTGGGGAGCTGCGTTCCCAGGCTCTCCCCTGCCTTTATCAGCCCCCCCAGTGTCAGGCCGGGGCTCGCAGCCTCTGTAGTGCCCGCTGCTGAGGAGCCGGTGTCGCGCCTGGCCCAGGCTAGATCAGCAGCAGGGCAGCTGGCTGCCTGCAAATCTCTGGCTGCCAAGCTGTCAGGGGAGCCCGGAGCGCAAAGGGGCTGGATGGAAGGAGACGATTCTCCTCCAGTCTGGGCAAGCGGCTAGCTCTGCAGATCGGGGGCAGGGGGGGAGTCTCCTCCAGGTGCCGGCCCGCTTCCCCCGGCTGCTGCTGCAGTTCGCAGGCGGCGAGGGGAAGTGAGAGCAGCGAATCTGGGGAAGGAGAAGTGAGTGTGTCTGCTGGGGGCGGGAGGGGGCGAACCCCGGCCCGGCTGAGCTCTCCAGCCGCGCCCGGGGCATTCGGGACGGAGCAGCGCGGCGGGGCTGGCAGCCGCCGCCTGTCCTGCTGCCTGGGCGGCGAATCGTTCCGCCTCCGAGGGGCGGCGGCGAACCCTGCACCTGCGGGAAGAGCTCGCCTGGCTCAACCCCAGCCCGGGCGCCAGCCATGCAAGCGGCCACCGCCTCCGGGCTGGATGTCTCGAGGACGGGCGGGCCCCGAGAGGACGGGCGCAACGCCCCGAATAACTACACAGGTAAGGGAGCCGGAGCTGCAGCAGCCCCGCCGAGCTGAGCGGGTGACTCCAGCTCGGTAGAGCCCCCCGCGCGGGCTGAGCGGTTGTGTCCGGTGCAGGGACCCTGGCTGTCGGGGCCAGGGAGTCAGCCGGGCGTTGGGGGATGCCGCTGCTGGAGAGAGGCGGCTGCTTTCCCTCTGGTTGTTGCGCTCCCGGGGAAGCGGGGAGGGTCAGAGCTGTGCGCGGGGGCACTCACATTGCTGGGGATTCACCCCGCTTGCAGGAAACAGGGAGCAGCCTCTGAGTTCAGCTTTTGGGGGTCACCTTTTCCCCAGCTGGGTTAGACTTCAGCTCCAGTGCGGTTTTGAAATACATCATAAACTTGCACTCGAAGCTGCGTGGTGGCTCCAAGGAGAGCGGCTTTTTGAATGTCAAACATTGTCAATGTGTCCGGATCCCTTGAAATGGCCTTAATTGGCACTGACTTCCTGACTGTCTGCTGTAGCCATAGCTCAGTTTGCTGGATTTGGGACTCTTAGCTCCAAGGAGGCAAGTGGTGTCAAACGGGGTCATCAGATAAGCTGGCTTCTTGCAGGTAGAGGATGAGTTGGCAAACGCACTGAAGGTTCTCATTAGCGGAATGCACCCGCATAACACAGTGTTATAAGCACAGGGCAATAATAGCCCAAGCTGTAAGGCACTGGGTATCCTAGGAGTAACTGATTCCTTTATTCTCAGGCGAGGACCACACCATGATGCAGGCTCCTTGGTCTTTTAAGAAGGGAGTTTGCAGTAATCAGCTTTGCTTCCTGTACTTTTTCAGTCAAAGCCAAAGATGAGTTACTGTTTGGGCCAATCCGAGAGGAGAGGCCTGAGTACTCAATTTGAAGGTGCATCTCTGTTTCTGTTGGCATCACCTCCTACACAAAATTCCTTCTTTCTATGCAGGTAATTATGCTGAGCTTGCACCATTGAACTCAGTGGGCATTTTGCCACTGACTTCAATGGGCGAAGGATTCATTCCTGTAAGAATTGACCCATCCCTTCTAACCAGCCACCACCATCTCGAAGTTTTTCAGATAAGTGAAAGAGTTTTAAATTAAAGAGCGTCTCTGCAAATGACTTGGCCCTAATGCAGCTGCAATTCCATGGTAATCATTTCATAATAGCCTTTTAGTGGTAGTGATGGCTGGAAAGGTTCATGTTCGTTGGTGTAATTGTATTGAAAAGCTGTCAAGACTCTATTCAGATTAAAAGCTTTGAAAAAGATAAGGTGGAATATTGACATAATATAGTTAGAAAGAAAAATGCGAGCTGCTTGCTTGGGACTTGTAAAGCATGTTCACTAGCAAGATGTTTTACAGAGCTGTGATTCCATTTACAATAATCATAGTAATAAACAATGTTGCCTTTAGAGGAAAAATTCTATTTCTAAATCTCTCTGCCTGCTATGATAGTTTTGATTAAATATTCGGTATCAACAACCATTGCCTTGGTTTGCATGAAGTTTAACAGCTTGCATACATTAGACCATAGTTTCTATTATTGGGACCCAAAGCATATCTGAATGTGTTTAAGAAAATGCTGAGCTACTGCACTGAAGTACTAATTATGGACCTGATCTTGCGGTCCTTACTCAGGGAAAAGGCCCAGTGAGTTCACTTTACTCACTTGGTTATACACTTTTGGTTATGCAGTACTGGTATGTTTGATCTGTGCAAGTATTTCGAAGAAACAAACATAACAGGAATGCACCATATTTTTAAGCCAACGCATGCAGGACAAGCTGGCTGCATTGACTATCCTTATTAAGTAGGCTGCTCTAGAAAGAATGTTATTGAACTTTAAATATAATGGAATGGAATTAAATTATGGTAAAAAGTTGGAAGTCAGTTTATTTGTGTGTGTGTGTAAATAAATCTTAGACAGTGTGGTGGGGGGTGTCTAAGAAATGCTTAGATTAATAGACATGAAATGAGAGCATCACTTTAAAGGGGAAAGGAATACATCTTCATTGTAATATCAGATTCAAAGCTCTGTTATTAAAATGAAATAATCTCCTGACAACTACAGATTGACCTGGCAGAAAATGAAAACATCTCATTTTCCTTGCACAGTGATTTAGTGGAATAGAATTCTTACATGTTGAAAAAAGATTTAAGGCACAAATTAAAGCTCCAATTCTGCAATGTAATCTGACAACATGGATCCCAGCACCTGTGCAGAGTTCCTTTAGCTTCAGTGAGGCTTGATGCTAGTGGAACCTGATGCAGGATCTGGCCCTAAAATATTTAGGGCATTTTACCATTGACTTTAATGGGAGCAGAGTTAGCCAAGTGCTGAGTGCTCTTGAAAATCCCGTCCTTTCTGTTCAGAATTCAGCTTGTCCTCAAGAATGCCACACTGCACTGATTTAATTTGCTTGGGTGGTTCTAACAGGCTATATTGGTGATCTCATTTTAGCATACTGGTAGAAATGATCAGACACGTTCAGTCCAGCATTTTTTGGTAATGCTTTACATTATGTCCACTACATATGTTTAACCATCCATTTGATTTATTAGAACCATTCATATTAAAAATAACCAAGTTTTAGGAAACATGTATTGAGAATTAAGAGCTATGTGTAAACACAGATTGTATTGCTCTGCTTTTATGCTAATAGTATTAATCATTGACTTTTGTAAAATTGTGTGGCTCTGCTCCCTTCTCCAGGAGTGTCAGGTCAGTTTGGGGGTTTTGCTTTGGGCCCACAAGTGAAACAGGGCTTGTAGGTGGCTTGTCCCGTCATGATCCTGCTCAGACCTTCTGCCAGTGCGGCCCGTGGATGAAATCCTGAACCCCCTGAAATCAATGGTAAAACTCCCATTGACTTCACTGAGCCAGTATTTCACCTCAGAAGTCTGGTTCCACCAGGGTGAATCTGGCCTTGAATTAATTAATTGCTTGGTAGCATATAACACTTACCTGCTGTAGGCTATCAAACCAGCCCATCTTATGCACTTATGGCAGGCCTCAGTAAATATTTTGAACAACAATTTTTATTTATTAATGTAGAATAACTGTGTTGACAGTAATGCATTCTGTTGCTGTAATTAATGTCTGTTTCAGGCTGGCAAACTCTGTGTGTGTGTGAGTGTGTGCACATGCACGCGTATGTGTGTGTGAGTATGTGTGTAAAAGTTGGTGAGGTGAAATCTATCCCTGGGCCAGGGTCTGGGGCTACTGAACAGTTCCGTTCCCTTCTCCGCGTGAATTTAATCTTACTTAAATACCAATTCATCGTCAAAAAAATGTTCATTGAATTAGCTGACTCTGACACAATCTTTAAATCTGCACTAGTGGTTTGGATAGTGAACCAAAAGTTAAATATCATGGACAAGTTGTCATATAATTTAGAATTATATCTTTATTTGAGACACTTAAATAATGTGGTCTCATTTTAAATTATGCAGGGATATTTGTAGGAGAAATGATATATGAAGAGTGCTGGTGACAAACTGAGTTCCCCCAGGCCAACTATTGTACTGTGCAAGATCGTTTTTCCTCTTTCATACTACTGGTGATCATTTTTCATACTGCGCAAGTAGAGTGTCTTCATTGTAAACTTCCAGACCACAAATGAGAAGCTGGTGATAATGATCTATGTAGCCAAACTCCCTCAGGCATCCCTTTTGCAGTCCATGAGAAAAGTGGTGTGACATGTCTGTTTGCATTAATATGTTAATGAGAAAAGACTAAAGAAAAGTTAAAAGATGTTCATCTGCACAGTCTAACTTCTTTTAAAAGATTTTTAACTCAAAGGGAGTTACAGCTCCTCAAAATTCCCAGCTGTGAAGTTCAAACATGCTCCACTTTCTATGATGCTACCTCCCTAGATTTCTGAGTGTAGGTTTTTCTGGCACATTATCTCACTTTGACCTAAAATAGACTCCAACATAGGGTGTTATGTTCTCCTTTGTGATAAAATGTTGGGCAGTGGGCTAAGATCCTCAAAAGGGTACTTTAAACCTGATCTATGTACGTTAGTCTGTATTATACTATTCAGTCACAAAAAAAAATGTGTATTACCAGCAGCGGGCATGGCTAGAGCCACACACCAAAGAGATCAAAGTATTGCAGAAACTGTGCTGGGGAAGATGCAGAGCACTGCACTACTAGACATTTCGGGATGGAAGAGTCTGCAGTAAAGGGCATAGTGTGTGGAAAGATGAGGCAGACTGTTCCAGGTACCTTTGCCAAAGCTGAGATGACATCTTTCCCCAACCCCATCGCTTGTGTGATTAAACATCCACAAACATGTTTACCTTTTCCATATCACTGTGGATTTTTGACAGGAACAAGTTAATGCTACTCAGAGCAGCATAAATTTATTGTTAGTATTTATACTGGTGGGCAGATATTCACTGTCCACCCCTCCGATGCCTCCCCAGTTCCTTCGCACTGCTCTGAAAAAGCATCTGGAATGCTGATGTAACTGGCTACCTGGGGAGCCTCCTAGTGGAAGGAGCCAATGTAACTGCTCAGCCCCCAGTTTGTAGTCCCTAATGTGGGTGGCATGTCAGGGTTGGGAAAGGGAGCATGGTCAGAGTGCTCCTCTGTTCTGTTGCCCCCTCAGCTGCTTGAATAGCCCGTTGGGGTCTTTTGGAGCCAAACACAGCTCAGAGCAGCCCTAAGGCTGCTGTAAGTTACACCTTGGGCTGATTGCATAGGTACAGGGAGGAGGCAGATGTAATAGTGGTTTCTTACCACCCCTGCTATGCCATGCACAGCACTGATGCAGCTGAGGATCTGGCCCTTTGTTTTTCCAGTGTGGGGTATGCACAGCTATACTTCGGCTTTGCCCTGACTCCTTGGGTGTTTCACCAGATCATTCCCTGATTTGGAGTTTGTAGTTCTTTTGTGGATCTTTTGCATGGAACCATTTAATGTTGGAGGTTAGTGTAGCAGCACCTCAAGGAAGAGACTTCAGAGCTTTTTGGAATTGCAGGCAGGTGTTGAAGTATATTGGTACCCTTATC